TCAGGGCTCAGAAGTAACGGTGTCGCTCCGGTTATACTACACCAAATATCTGAGAAGTCCCCAAGAAGCACAGCTGAAAATCTGTCGAAAGAGCTGTACATGCCACGTTAAATTTGAGCTGCTTTTGACGTGGCTGGCAACGTAATTTTGTTTTGGCTAGGCTGGGTGTGGGGCACTTATCAAAAAAGATCTCCTCCACTTGCATGTTTTTTTATTGCTGTTTAACAATAAAGGGATCTCTCAAAGAAGGGATCTCTGTGGTACTACTGCAAGAGACATGCAAAAAATACCCAGCAACCTCGGCACATTACCCGAGCCTACTTAGCAACTTTCAGACTTTGTTCCTCTGCTTTCCTAACTAAATACAGCAGATAGAAATGGGAGATAACGCTCCCATGCAAATGAAGACAACAGTTGCTCGCCCACTCTCCGCTTTGGCTAGTGAAAGACACGCTGGTTTCCCTAAAGCAGCTTTTATTTTTAGCTCCTTTTTTTTTGTCCGTCCTTTCCCCGGGTAGCCTCCTGCCTGCAAAGCGCCAGTGCATTGTCCCCTGACAGCTGATGCTTATCGCGCCGGGGGAGGGGGGGAGAGTATTGTGTTTCAGCTCGTGGCACTGGAAAACCTCGCAACTTTCTTTTGAAGTTAAATGGCTTCATTTGGTTTCCAGGTCTGAATAACTCTCCGAACTATAATGACCCAAAAGCCGACCCATTTACAGCGCCCGTCCAACCAACCTGTTTCTTCCTCAGGCGGAGCTTTGGCCAAGAAGGTGGGGGGAAGCTCCTCTACCAGCCTAACTTGCACCGTAATTAAATTGTATTTTATCCTACCGAGTCGTTAAAAATATCGAGCAAAATACAAGTTTCAGTAATTTGTTTGTATTCTTACCTGTAGGAGCTGGAAATTAACAGCCCCGCTTAGTTTACTGTTCAGCCTGGAGAGCGAGAGATTGCTTTGCAAACATTACAGTTATTATGTCTGCAGTTGGTACTCTTTGTATAAATTATTGATCAGCCATCTTATTTTTCTTTCTGCTTAATGGATATTATAGCATAGCCGTTTACACGCTATAGTTAAGGTTGTGTCAGCACTTCCATTTATAACATCCCCCTCTTGCCGAGAGTTTATAACTCGCAATAAAATTCCGCTCTGGGCTGAAACTTTTCAAGCAAAAGCTCGGACTTTTAAAGGTCTTTTACCTCCCCGTCAAAGAACAATTAAAAGAAATGTTTGTCTGCCTTTTCTGTTGTTGTAGTTGAAATATGGGACTAATCAAGGTTAACACCCCACCCACCAATGTTTTTCATTCACTGAAGTGACTTGAGGAGGAAAAGCCTGCATCTCGCAAGCTGTCAGCTCGTACAGAAGAAAAACCCAGTGTGCATTTTTTAAATATATTTATTATTATCAAAGGAAACAATTAGTGCTGGAGCAGCTGCCGAGCCGGCGCCCTCCGCCCCGATCCAGGGCCCCGGCGCCGGGGGATTGGCCAGCCCGGCGGGGACGGACGAACGGACGGATTGACGGAAGGACGGATGATGCTGCGGACCCCCCGCGGCTCCGGCAGAGACCGGGGCGCGTATTGGAAATCCAGGAACACTTAAACACCGGGCAGGCTCTCCAGCGGCTGTATTTCGATCAGCCTGGGCTTGGAGATGGAGCGGCTGAGCAAACCAATTCTGTAAGGGGCGGGGAGGGGGGGAGCACGGGAAAGAGCATCTCAAAGTAGACCACCACTTTAAAATAATTTAATGGCAGGGGCTTTGCACTTCATAATTACTGCTCCGAGCGACTTTTTCTACCTGTTGGTAGGTGAATTAACACGTTGGACTGAGGACCTCTAATGAGAGCCCGAGTGTAACTAAAACAGAGCTCCCCGCCTATTCCAGTCCTCATTTAATTCACGCAGGGAAGTTGGCGATCGCTTCCCCATCGCACCGCAGCTTGCTCTCTTGGCCGTCCGCCTTCAGGTGGATGTCAGCAGGCGGTGCCCAGCTCCTGCTCCATCCCTCCATGTCTCTATCCATTCATCCGTCCATTTCGCCCCCGTCCCCGCCCAAGACAGCCCGAGCAGGAACCCGGCCCCCGATCCACTTCACCGTTTGGCTCTGGAAGCTGCAGCGTGATCGAGAGGCTCAAATCAACGTGGGTTATTGTAGTTACTGACTTCGAAACGTATTTTCTAAAGTCAGAACAGTGATTTAAAGATAAAAAACCCCAAACAAAACCAAACAACAACAACAAAACCCCCCAACAACTAAACCACGTAAATAATCAAGTCACTTAATTGGCGTTTGGTATTTGCGATTTGCATATATGTGTTTGTGCAGGGGTGTGTGTTTGTACGTGTGTGTGTATGTGTGTGTGTGTCTGTGTGATGGAGGGAGGAGGGAGGGAAGGGGTGAGAAGGTTCCCAAGCCGTCGGGTACTGTATCTCTCAGCACGGCACGTCTTTGGTCAGAGCATCAGTGAGCATCACCGTAGAAAACTCACATTTCTTGTGGGGATGAAGGTGCAGTATTGAAGGACTCGGTGGGGGTGGGGGAGTGTGTGTGTGGGGGGGAGGGTAAGAGTGAGGTGGTAAATCCTGCCCTTGTACTAGCGCGCTGATACCCTCGGAGCCAATGAGATAGCTCGCGGAAGTTAAGCCGGCGGAAGCTGCTCCAGCGCTGAAGGGATAGGGTCAATCAGAGTGTGCCAAGCCCTCCAGTCCTGTGCTGGAGATGTGCAGCCACTTCTCTCACCTCTCCAGCTGTGAGAGGCACATTACACAGTCAGCTCAGGTGATCATTTGCTCCCGGATTCTCCTTTTTAAAGACTTCGAAAGTTATTTTTAATGGCTTCTGAAGTTTCTGTCATTCCATTCTTCCACCATTTTATTTTTTTTGTGTGTGTTAAGCAGGCACCATATGTAACTACAAATTGCAGTAAAAGAATGCAAAAGCAATCTTGCCGTGTATTATTTTGGACTTTTTATGATATGTGGTGGACAGTTCAGAAGTGTATGCTGTTGTTGAAGCTGCTTGTGCTCGGTGTGCTAATGCGCTGTTTGATTGAGTGAATTAGCAGTCATAACAATCTGGCAGACTGGCCATAGAAGTGTGCTCAAATTGATTTGTGTTATGGCTGGACTGGAAAATCTAGTGTTAGTTGTTTTTTGCCCTGGGGCATTGTTTGTACCAAAGTCCACTTTTCATTTAATTTTCCAATAGATTTTTGAAAGACCAAAAGGTTTGTGATCAACATTCGCTGCACTTTATTATTATTCTTCAGCTATTAAAAACAACCTATGAGTAATTTCAGGTTCCCCAAAACATTGCTTTCAATTAGAGTAAACATAATTAGTGTGACGTCGTGCTTGGAATGGTAAATCTCCCTTTGTATCTATTAAGCATGTTATCTACTTGTCCTGTCATTGAAAGGAATCCAGTTTGTATTTGTATTGTACAAAGTCTGTGCTAGATTGACTATAAAACAACAATTAGAAAAACAACACTGCAGTATCCAGTTTCTTATTGCTAGTACAACACTTCCCATCAATCTCAACAGTATTCATGGCATTTTCAATGTTCAGTAAATATCTTGGTAGAGAAAAAAAAAAAAAAAAGCATCCCAATTCAGAGACTTGTATTTCTATGAGCCTTTTTTCCTGAGCGATGCAGGGGGGATTTGGTACGAGGTCCCTCGTTTTCCTCAGGCTTCCCTCCAAATAACAGATAGCTCCTGAAAGGAGGATTGCCGTTTGAGACCCCGGAGATTAAAAGCAAACCAGAATTTACCTTCTCTTTGCCAGTACCTGCTCCTTTCTTAGAATCTTCTGCTCAGCAGTCGTTTGCAAGAATTAGCATGCAGCATGATTAAACCTAAACTATTACTCTATTGATCATACAGAAAGCTTTGTGAAATCATTTAGTTTCTTCAGAAACTGGTGAACAAAACAGGTCACTAGACAAGGATAAGACAAAATGCAAGATAGGTATTTTTTAGGAAAAGAAATTAAAAAGAAATGCGGGGTGGGGGGGTGGGGGTGGGCGAAGGGGGGAAATACCGTGGATTAACTTAAAAGGGTAGTACACTATACACTATTCATCCTTACCCGGTGCCTATCTTCCACATGCATCCCCTCCCCCAGTTCATTCCTTCACACGCGTTCAGAAGAGAAATATTTTTCTGGTATTCTGAATGAATTTAAACGTTTAATTATCAACAATAAGTGATTGTGGTTGGGGAAGGGGAGCTGAGGTACTATCCTATCTCCTGTCAGTCAGGTATTCACATACCTTAAAAAGCAACAGCTACAATGCATTTTCTAATTGCATTTTACCCTTTACAGCTGCCCTCAAATTTGTAATTTAATAAAACAGTGAACTCCATATCAGTCTTTTTTTTAGAGCAATATATTACAATCACTGTCAATACATCTTACTGCTTTAACATACATTTTAATACAGCAAAACGGTTAAAAGAAAAAAAAAAAGGTAGACAGGAATACAGAGAATACCTGCCCTGAACATGAGCAGAACAGAAGACCTGCTTCAAACAATATTCCAGGAAAGAAATTAAAGACTTCTTAATTAGTGCAGCAATTAAGCTTTCTTGGTCGAATTTTAATCAGCCCAGGCCCTATCAAAGGACAAACAGAACGATTTGCAGGTCTTTGAATTTTAAACAGTCTTATTGATTTCACCACCATAAGTCTTCACTTGACACAGGGAGATTTTTCAAATATCAGTTACAGTAATTTGAGTTTTGCTGATATCAACTCAGGGAGACACAAAAAGGAAAACGCCCAACAGTATCATCACATGAAAGGGTCAGTGAGTAAGAGAAATGCAATCTAAAAAAGTTTACACAGAGCAGCCTCAAGATTTGTTCATGCGTTTGTGGGAGCATGTGAGTGTATGTGTGAGTTCAAATAAATTCAGTCACTCCCCATAATCACGAGAAACACTTACCAAGCCAGAAGCTTTGAGGAGCCTTGAATCTTTTCATAAATCTCTTTCTAGGTTTCTAATCCTATTGTTGCATTGAAATGATCAAGGTTAACCCAAACCTGTGGTAGTAAACCCTTTCAAACTACATTTTTTTTTTATATGATTTTGAACCATGAGGATTATATATCCATGAGGGCACACAGCAAGAAGAAAAGCAGAAGAGCTGGTGTGCATCACATTGTAGTGAAGGTGGAGAACAAATTAACTGGTTAGGTTTCCTAATTCAGAGTTCTCTCAGATCTCCCAAGTGGTAATATGACATGTGTCTGGCTCTGTCCTGATCTTCTCCAGGATCTGTCCTGATCTTCTCCAGGATCTGTTCTGATCTTCTCCAGGTGCCGGGGAAGGTGAGATGCAAACGGATAGTTGAGGCAAAGAAAACATGGACAGGGTTGGTTTCCTACAACTGGAAAAAGAAAGATGCAGTGTATTCACAGTTTTAAATTACAAGTTTTATGCAACACTAGATCCCGCCACTGGAACTCAAGTTGAACAAGCTCCTCCAGAGAAATGTTCTGAAAAAGCACCTAAAAACGACAGTAAGAAGTCTTTTCCAGTATGCGAGACTTCAAAACAAAATGCCACTTTGTATTTTCCTGGGTTTATTTGTAAATTTTAAAATTTTAGTGCACTGCTCTGCTAAACTTTCACAAGCAAAGATCACCTTTGTCCTTTAGAACACGTATTAGAACATGAATTCCCGTAAATTGAACTTTAAAATAAGCAAGTAGATCATACAAGAACAGTTTACATCTGGTAATGTGGAAATTCCCCTGCACTGAATTACTACAGTTGAGATTATCCACTTTGTATATGTGTCATCCCATGAGTCATACCTCACATAATAAAAAAGCAGCTATGGGCACATACGTTCATCACAATTAAACACGTAGTGTATATTTTTAAAGCAGGAGAACTACGCACACGCTGAACCCCACTTCTGCAGACCCCCCCGATCTATCCGAACAGCCGCTTCTTTGCCCCTTTAAACACGCCAAGTGCCCTCCACAAAAGCAAAACCAAGCTCCGGGCTTCCCCGACCGACACCGACGCCCCACTGGAGGGGGCATACCACGAGTTAGATCAGCATTCCCCGCGCCAGCGGCGCGCTAGTACCGCGGACACGAGTGGTGCCCGACCACGCCAGGCGAGGCGCGTCCTACCCTGCCCGCTGCGCAACTGCGCATGCGTGGGCAAGCGCAGCAGCTCAGTTTGCGCGCTGACTGGCTTGAGGGTCGACGAGTTTTCTGCGCGCCTTCTGCGCGGTGCCGGCACCTGTTGCGCAGCGGTACCTGCCCGGGCCAGGCCGGCCTCCTTCCCCTCTCCTAAATTACTTGTATGTCGCTGCTGCCCTCCTCGACACGGTTTCCCGGCGGCGTGACCCGCGGAGTCGCGTCCCCAAGCAGGACCGTCCCCGGCGCCACGCAACGAAGGGGCCTCGGCGCTGCCGCCAAACCCCCAACAACAACTCCCTCCACGTTTGTGGTCCCGGGAGGACAACAAACAACAACAAGAGTAACAGACCGGTCCGGAGGTTTCCGCTTTTGTCCGCGGGTGCCCCGGCCCCAACAAGGTGCGCGGCTAGCGCCCGCCCCGCGCCCCGCTCCGGGGGAAGGCTGGAGACGCTCGTGTTTCTCCACAAACTGTGTTGACAAGCGATTTCTGAAAAGGGCTGGGAAAATTACATCCAGTCTCTGGTGGGGTGAAATATGAAACATGTAATCTAACGGTTCCTGTAAGGGGAGGGGGGAGAAAAAGACTTCTGTTTCCCTCTCTGTTTTCCTGCTCCGGGTTCCTGGTTGGATAATTCGGGTTAATACTAGTGAGTGAGCCTTTTGCTGCTTCAAAGGGTATTTCAAGTTGCCGGAGCTCCTCCCCTCCGCACCGTGTGACAACAACAACTCGTCCAGCGAGCGAGCGGCGGCGGCGGCAGCAGCAGCAGCCAGTACTTCCCAGCTCATTTTCTCTCTGTCATTCGCCTCTCAATCTTTGATCAATGTACTTGCCAGAGAGAACTGAAGTCCTTCAAACCTCCTCTTTTTCACCTTCGTCTTTAACGTGGTGCTAGAGCAAGGACCACAAAAAGAAACTGCCCTCCCCCTCCCCTCGGCCCCAGCCCCGCCGCCCGGAGCGGACTTCTCCTCCTCCTCCTCCTCCTCCGTCCCCACTTGCGGGACACTTTGTGCGTTCTCTCTCTCACTCTGCCCCCTGCTCTCGCTCGCCGCAGCACCTGATCCAGGGTTATCCCCCCCTTCTTCTCCCCCCTTCTCCCTTCTCTCCTTTCCTCCTTTTTTTTTGTTATTTTTTTTTCCCTTTTCCCTGCGTGTGTGTGGGAACTTTTCCCCCCTCCCCCTGCCCCCTCCGCCGTATATGTGACCATGGCCGTACCGGCTGCTTTGATCCCTCCGACCCAGCTGGTCCCCCCTCAACCTCCGGTCTCAACTTCTGCCGCCTGCACTACCACCACCACCACCTCCTCGTCGGCCACCTCCTCGTCAGCCACCTCCTCTCCGTCTCCGTCCATCGCTCCCCCGCCGGCCGCTTCGGGGACAAACCTATTCCGCCCGGAGCCCATCGCAGCGGCGGCGACGGCCACAGTCACCTCCACCACCAGCGGCGGCGGCGGTAACGGCAGCAGCAGCGGCGGCAGCGGCGGCGGCAGCCCCAGCCTGGGCACTGGCGGCGGCAGCAGTAGCGGCGGCAGCAGCGGCGGCACCTCCACTCCCAATGCCAGCGCAGCCAGCGCGGCCAGCAGTCTGCCCGGCAAGCCCGTGTACTCGACCCCGTCCCCGGTGGAGAACACCCCCCAGAATAACGAGTGCAAGATGGTGGATCTGAGGGGGGCCAAAGTAGCCTCCTTCACCGTGGAGGGCTGCGAGCTCATCTGCCTGCCCCAGGCTTTCGACCTCTTCCTGAAGCACTTGGTGGGGGGCTTGCACACGGTCTACACCAAGCTGAAGCGGCTGGAGATCACGCCTGTGGTCTGCAACGTGGAGCAGGTCCGCATCCTGAGGGGGCTGGGGGCTATCCAGCCCGGGGTCAACCGCTGCAAACTCATCTCCAGGAAGGATTTCGAGACCCTCTACAACGACTGCACCAACGCCAGGTAACCGCCGCAAGGCACACGCATAGCCCGCGCCCCCTCCTCGCCACCGCCTCCCGTCCCACCCCCGTGCGGTGCGGCCCGGCCCGGCGTGCGCTGCGCTCTTTCCCGCTGCTTCCCGCAGCCAACGCTCGGCCCCGGGGCAGGGGGTGGAGGGGAGAGACCCGCGCTCGCAGGCCACATGCAGTCGCCCTCTTCTCTCTCCCCTGCTGCCCCAGCACCCAGGCGGCCTCCTCCTGAGCCGGCCGTGCCGTTTCTTGGTGGGACGGAGGGAAAGACGGGAAGGGGTGTTTGTGTCCCCCTCCCTCTGTGCCTAGCAAGTGTCGCCTTGTCATTGTTCCCTTCTCTCCCTCCGGCCGAGGCGTCCGCAGGCTCCCGGCGGCCGCGGGCAGCGCAGTACGCTGCTTATGCGGGGAGGGGAGGGCCAGCGGGAGCGGGGAGGGGGCAGCGCGGCCTAAAAGTGCTTTTTAAGCGATAGTCACCCCGCTCTAAGTTTATCCCTGGATGTAGCTTTAAAACGAGCAGCCCTGGGAAAAAGCTGCCCGAAGGGTGCACGGGAGTGGGCGGGGAGCGGTCGCGGAGGGAGGGGGGACACACTCGGGCAGCACACGGACACCCGGGTTTCGGGTAAATGGGTCGGGGCGCGGAGCCGCTTCCCGTGCGGAGGGCCTTGACCGGGGTGAACGGAGGCCACTTTTCCATCAGCCGCTGTCATGTAATCGAAGCATGAGAGCACTTTTTGTATGTCTTATGAGGCAGTTGCCACATGGCGAATGGGGGGGAGACGGGGATGGGACGGGGACGGAGGGCGGGAAGACGGCGAGGAGGAGGAGGTGGCGGTGGCTGCTTTGGGATAGCGGGGAGAGGTGCCAGGCGGCCGGGATGGGCTGCTTCCCGTGGGGGGAGGGGAGAGTGCGGTCCCGGTAGAGCAGGTGCCAGCAGCCCCCGGGTCCCGGCAGCCGGGGAGGAGGCGACGGGGCCAGCGGGAGCGCAGGAGGGATTTGGCGACTCTGAATCCTGTTACGGCGCAGAATAACGCGGGCGCGGTGGCGGGGACGGAGCGGGGTAACGCCGCGCTCCCCGCGGGTCGGGGCGGGGGGACGACGGAGGAGAGGTGAAGCTCCAAACTTCCTACAACGGGGAGGGGTGTTGGGGGCAAGGGGGGCGGGGGGGCAGGGGGAGCTTGCAAGAGAGGAAATGCCTGCTGCAATAGCTGCCCGCTTTGCAGCCGAGTGCGAAAGAGTGGGGCTGCTATCTCTCCATCTGTAGGTTACAGGGCTGTATCTGCTTATACGGGAAGGGGATCGCATAACTGCCGTGACCCCGAGATGAGAGCGGTCGGAAGCGCCGCCAGCTCCCGGGCCACCCTCCGTAACTTGGCCGGAGAGCTCCTCTCCGGGTCTGCCGGGCAGAAGCGGCGGCAGGAGCTGCCCCCGGAGCGATGTCGTAGGCAAAGTCCCGATGTTACTTTCGGTACATGCAAATAAACAGACCGAGCTCGTTCCAGTTTCCTATTGTCAGATTTCAAGGTGCAGCCACAGCCAACACGTGGGGAATTAACCCCAGGCGATGCCGTACTCCTTCCCTCCCTCTCCTCTCCCCTCCCCTCCCTTCTCCTCATGGCGGGGGGTGTGCCGTTCCCTCCGTCCCCCCTGCCCGAGTTAGTTGGGGGTAGTTGGGACTCATTAGCATAGAGCCCGGCGAAGTAGAGCCCTGTCACTGCAGTAGCTGTTGCTAGATGGATTGTTGAAGTTCCTGAATATTCAGGGTAGCAGGACAAAACAGCTTGGAATAACTTCTAAGCGCTGACATAACTGTAGCTGCTCGGGTAGCTCTACTGTTATTTCATGTGGGATCAACATGAATATTAATAGCTGCTTTTAGACTTTTGTGTGTGTGTGTCATGTAACTTCTGACTACTCTGCACAAGTTCCAAGATCTGGTCCTTAAAATAAACTCATGGAAGTTTTATTTTGCCACGGTTATAATGTGTGTGTTGTAATTTGATTGCGTGAAATTAAAAAATAGAGAAGCGAGAAACTTTTTTTTGGGTGGGGGTGGTACAGGAGCATGGGGACACCAATTCCTGGGCTTGGCAGGGTTCTGAAAGGGTTTGGCAGCCAGGTTGTTCCATGGGTTGATTATGTCAACAGCACAGAATCGGCCATGTTTCAGCTGTTTCTGAGGTCTGCTCTGTTACCATCCAGCATCGTAGAAATTACAGTAGTAGGTTCAGAAGTGGATAGGATTTGACCCTTAAAAAGCATAATTGTACTAGACTTATTTATACATCCATTAAGCAAATAACTTAATGGAAAGGATATACAATAGGTATACAAAATGTGTTACTACAGTATAGACGAATAAAGCAAAGTGGGTCAGTGAGTTTTGGTCAAAACGGATGATATCATCAGAAGATAAATTGTGTTTACTCTCTGGGTTTCCCCTCCATACATTTCATTCTGATTCTTCTTTCCTTACAAATTATTTGAAATTATTTCTGACGTTACAGTAATTACACAGGATATTTTGATCTACTTGGTTTAGCAATTTTAAGTTATCTTTCCAGACTCTAAGTGACTGCATATTTAGTAGGGTAATGTCTTTTTGTATCTTGGGTGAACACTTAACTGTCGAGATGGAAGCTGTAAGAGCCAACTCCATCCTAGTGGCTAAATGGTTATACTCATCAGATTCAAAAATTTTGAACCAGCATGTTATCACTGTTATATTTGTCTCATAATCAGCTGATGCACTTGAATACACTGATCTCTTTTTGGAAAGCTTCATCAAGGTTAATATGTTATTTAATCAAAAAAAGGCATCCAGATAAAGCCATTACTTTGTTGTTCTTTAAAAGGATTGAATCATTAGTTGCCAGTTGTTGTGGAAATAATTTATAGTAACTTACTTTGAGATGGAAAAGTTTTAGAAGTGTTTCACCAAAATGGTACATTTTAACTGTGATATTGCTATTTAAAAAAAAAAAAAAAATCAATCAAACAAAAATCAGTGAAACACCAAGGGGTTTTCTATTGAATGCTTAATGTGGAGGTCTGTAAAGTGAACTGGTTTCTGTGTTTATTTGTGATACTACCAATAATAACATGATACTAAAGGACCTTTTTCTAAATTAAGCTTCTGTATCAGTTCACTGGAAAAATAAGCTTCCGTTATGGAAGATGACTTTTCTTTTCTGGTCATACTGACCTTTGCTTTTATTTTCCTCATAAAAAGCACTGGTCGCCTAACAGAAATCCAGGAAATAGCAAACTGTGCATTTAGCTTCCATTCCGATTAAATGGTTTGTCATTAATGGGATGCTAGAAAGCCATATGCCAAACAAATAAGGGAAGGATAAAGGCAAAACATGGAAAATATTTAGAGCTACTAGATGCCAATCGAGTCGGGTTTCTTGAGCGTGTGCGTGAAAGAGAGTAGCGAACTGCGCACTGGATGTCACCTGCCCAGGATTAATGACCTGGAAGATATTGATCCCAGACTGTTCCTGGTCCCTTGTGTTTTGAACACTTGTTGTGGAATTTTACCATGCAGGGTCCCTTCATGGAGTTTTCCCATAGACTCAGGCTGGCTTTGGATCGTGCACACCCGAGTAAAGACTAAAAGCATGTGCCTTCTGACCTCCCTCATGTGGCCAGGACACGTTAATCTTTTCTGACATTTGAAGATGATTTCGAGTGAGTTCATTGACATTCATACTTAAAGCTGGGAATTATTCAACACTGTTTGGAAACTATTTGCAAATTTTGGAAAACAACCTAATCGATTTTTGAATATAAAGGGGAAAGATGCCGAACATGAAACAGTTCCCTTCAAAGCCTGTCTTACATGGCAGTTATTCAGTCTCTGTTGGCTAGCTTCTGCTTTTCTCAAATTATGTGGACTTAGCATGTACTTGTTTACTGAATACTGCACGCTTGCATAGGCTTTTTGTGTTTGTATTAATTAAAGGAGTATCTCACCCAGATAGGTTAGTGCAGATCACAGATATTTCAAATGAACAGGTCAGCAAGTGCAGCTGAAAGGAATGTCAAATACATAGTGTCTGTGGTTTATATTGATGACCTTCCTGCTTGCCACAGATTACTAAAATATAATCAGCAGAAATATGGTAGGTTTTACAAGCAAAGGCGACTTCTGGAAGGTCAGAGGATAAATTGTAGTACCTATAAAGAAGGAGTAAAAGGTTTGGAAGTGGCTTCATCAGACTGGAAAAACCCTAAAAAGACTCCAGCCACTAGCAATTACAGAATTTTAATATCCATCTCATGGTATTTATTTACTGGTAAATAATACAGATTAAAAGCTGAGATCTTTGGACCACACTTAACTGCAACAGAACAGACTTTTGATCTAATAGTTGGTCCCTAACAGTAGCCCAGTGTCTGATACTTG